AAAAGACTTGGGAACCAGCCCTGCTGCCAACAGCATGTTTCCAGGCAACCTTCACCAATGTCTTAAAACTGCCCAGCCTTTTGTTCCTCTCTACCTCAGCACTGTTAACAACCGTCCCAGAGAGCTGGAGGATCTTGTCTGTCTCTGTTCCCTTAACATAGGTCCCTGTACATCTGTAAATACAGACTGTAGAAGAAGGGGGCTGCTTTGGGTTTGCCAGGGACGCCAGAGTGGAGAATGAACAGATCTCTTTGGCAGGCGAACCTTACCTTCTCGAAGCTTTACATTCATGTCTAGGCCCCATTGCCCAAGTGGAACCTTAAAGTTTGGTGGGGTGGGGAGGGATTCAGAGACAATTAACAAGGATTGTGAGAGCAGGAAAATAAAAATTGGGGAGGTAGAACTCAGTCTTCAAATATCTGAAGGTGACGAATTTATTTATTCACTAAGAATTTGTAAAATGCCAGTTAGTGCTGGAGATTGGTTAACGAATCTGATAAATTAGCCTTATGGAATTTTCTTTTTTTGTAGGGGCAGGGAGAGAACAATAAACAAGTAAACATACCAAAACACAAACAAAACACGTAACTCTAGATAGTAATAAGTTCTATGAAGAATATAAAGGTTAAAATGGTGGTAAACTGGAGATTGGAGTAGACATTTTAATTTAATAGGATGGTCAGAATTAAGAGGTTAGAGGTTTATTGATAAGGTATCTGTAGGAGCTTTCTCACGGTGAGAACCTTTTCAGTGTAGAACAGACTTGGGAGGGAATTAATTCTCTGGCTGGATGTATTAAAAAGAGGCCTATGGGAGAACTCACTAGAGATTTTTTTAAAGGAATTTTCTTGAATATGGTAGAGGCTTGAGACAGATCGGTTTTCAGACTTGTAGCTTTGGAATCCCTTTTTCATAAGAATTAGTAGCTCTAAGGCCTTCAGCAAAGCCATCCTTCCCCCTGCCTCTCCCCACCCTCCAGGTTGGGTGCTGATTGACCGGAGCGGCCGCCACTTTGGTACAATCCTCAACTACCTGCGAGACGGGTCCGTGCCACTGCCTGAGAATACCAGAGAACTGGGGGAGCTACTGGGCGAAGCACGCTACTACCTGGTACAGGGACTGATTGAGGATTGCCAGCTGGCACTGCAGGTGAGGGTCCCTCCCCCACCTCCTGAGTCCCACCCCTATGCCCATGTCCCTGGGAGAGCTGCCCAAGCAGTTAGCTATTAAGACATTAAAATAAATAAATAAATAAAAGGAAATATGGGGCACTGCCTGGAGGACTTGCCTCTGGCCTGGCTCTGACTAGCCATGACAGCAGAGACTTTGGGGGTACTGTCCTCTGCATTCTGCTGCCCCAGGCAGGGCCCCCCTCACCACCTCATGCCAAGACTACTGCAGTGGCTAAATGACTGCTCTCTCTGCTTCTTGCTGCTTCTACCCAGCCGATCCAACTGTTACACTACCACCGAATAATTGTCCAGTTTATTCTCTCCTTTGCTCAGAAATTCCAAATAGCTCCCTTGTCCCATTATGAAAAAAAAATCTAAATTCAAATTGGAACATAGTGATCTCCATGATCTGGTCCAACCCTGGGAGGCAGCATTCCACCCCTCCCAGGGCATTAATAATTTTTTTTCTAGTAATGAAATATTATAGAAGCAGCCACTCATAATAAAACAGGGTTGGGGGTTCCAGAGCCCCACCTGCTGGGCTTTTCTTCTGGGGATCTCTTAAGACTGTGAGGAGAAGAGCTTGGAAAGCACAGCCAGGGCATAGGGGTTAAGTGCTGCCTCCATCACAGCTGACTGAGTGACCTTGAGTGAGTCAATTCCTACCTCGGGCATTCTGTTCTCATGTTCCAAAAGATAGTGAAATGAGAAAAATGTGTACAGTGTAGTGAGTTTCACATAAAGCCTTTTATTCTGTTTCATTTTTACAATGTTCAAAGTGTCCTTTTATGATACAGTATTAATAGGAGATTATAAGAGTTTCCTTTTAGATGCCCTTTATATATTAAAAAGTGGCAACTATGAACAACTCTCTGTTATCTTGGAGAATACTTACTGATTCTTAAAATCCGAAAGCATAGAATTCCTTTGAGCCATATCCATGTTTTTCAAACTTCTTGACTGCATCTCACAGGAAAAAAATGCATTTTATACTCACATATAAATAATTGAAATAAGAGTTTTAGTAAATGAAACTTTTAGTGAAATACCCTCTGATATATTCTATTTTCTTTTTTTCTTTCCAATGCTATTTGGGACCCATTAAATTTATTTCATGACCCATTAATGGGTTACCACTAGCAGTCTGAAAAACATTAAACTAGATTATTTTGGAAGTGCATTCCTGCTCTATATGGCTCTACATTTATCTAATGTTATCTCACCCCCACCGTGTGTTAGGATCGGTTCTGTTATCTTCCTGTATCCCTGTTTGACATAAAAAGAAACACGAGGGAAGCTGGGGATGCATCCAAGGTCAAAGAGCTGATAAGCAGCAAAGCTCAGTCAACCGCAGTTTATCTGACTCCCAAGCACAGTACTTTTTCTTCTGTGCTCCAACTGCCTCCTTTCCAAGTTTCCCCGAGATCATTCCCATCCCAACCCAACTCAGCTAGAATATGTTTGTTTGTTTGAAGGTTTTTGTTTTTAAGATTCAGGTACAGAGAAGTAAATTTATCATACTTCTTAGTGTGTGGTACTTAATCATCTTGGTCTGTGCAGATCTTTTCTCTTTTTATTTTTTCCTTCATTCCCAATCCCCTGCCTGTTTCCCTTTTCCCCTTAGATACCCCTCCAGTCCTAATGTTTTGATACATATGCTTGGATTATGTTTGTACCCTTGAAAAGCTAAAGCATTCTTTTGTAAACATATGCATTTTAAATTTCCATAAATGACATTGTGCTATGGGTTGTGTGTTCTATTTCTTAATTCAACATGTTTTCCAAGATTTGTTCATGTTGCTGTGTGTACATTTAGTTCTTTGCTTCTAACTGCTGCACGGGAATCTATGGTGTGCAATCACCATATTTTATTTATACATTCCCCTGAGGTTGGAGACCTAGCTTGCCTCCCGCTTCCTGCCCCCACAGGCGGTGCCACCGTGAGCATCTTTGTACACGTCCCCTTGTGGGTCCTGGGCCAGGGTTTCTTATGATTGTAGCTGGGAGTGGAATTGCTGGGCCACAGGACACATACAAAGGAATTTCAGCAAGTGTTATCAGATTACTCTCCCAAATGGCTGTAGCACCTTATATGCTTGATGAGCAGTGCATTAGGAATCCCATTTCTGCATATCCTCAACAACACATGGCATCATCCAGCATTCTCATTTTGCCGATCTGATTGGTACAGAGTGATCTCATTTTAATTTGCATGCTTTCAATGACTAATGCGATTTAGTATCTCTTCATATACTCACTAGCTTTTTTGGTTTCTCCTTCTGTGAATTGCCTATTCATATTCTTTACCAAATTTTCTACTGAGTTTCCTATCTTTTTCTTGTTGCTTTGCAAGAGATTCTTGCATCTTTTAGTTGAGTTCCTTGGGAGAATTAAGCCCTATTACCCTAAGGCATGTGTTTTTTTATAATAAATTAACTTTTCTCCTAAGTATCTAGCATGGTACTGTTTACTTGTCATTCTCAGAAGAGTTGAGAAACTTGTTACTTTAATTATTTGCTGGGTTTTGATATTCAGTGAGGAACCCCATTGAGGAAGTCTGTATCAGGTAATAGTTTCTAGTCAATTTTAGATGTTGCCAGTATTTTATTAGAATGTCACCTGTGTGTGGCATCTGTTGTTGAATAGAAATTTTTGTTTTTTTAAAATTATAAATAATTATTTATTATTTTTAAAGCAGTATATAACTATTGTAGAATTTTAGAAAACAGAGATAATCAAAAAAATAAAAGCACCAAATATTTTTCCAGGTCTTTTCCTGGGTGGGTGGGTGGGTGGGTGGATGGGGGTGTGTGTGTGTGTGTTTGTGTGTATTTTCTAAAATATGATTATGCTGTATGTGCTGTTTTGTAATTTGCTTTTTTGTTGTTTGTTAATAATTGCCATCTTTCCATGTCAATGAAATTTTATTTAATATCGAGGGCATATACAAATTTCTCCATTTGTTCCAGAAATGTCTTTTATAGCTGGTTCATCTAAACCAGGACCCAATTTAGATCCTTGCATTATATCTGGTTATTATGTTCTTTAAGTCTCTTCCAGCCCCAAACAGTCCCCTTCTTCTCATAATACTGACTTGTTAAAGAGAACACCAGTTGTCCTGCCCAGTGCCCTGCTTTCCAAATTTACCTGATTTCGTTTGTTACCCTACCCTATCCTGAGTTTTCTGTAAACTAGATGGTAGATTTAAAGGCTTGTTATTAAACATTTTGGTTAGAATACATTATAAGTAAATGGTGTATATTTCATGTTGTGTTATATCGAAACCCAGAATATTGTTAACATGACCT